AAGCCACTTCCGTCGACCTCTCCCGACAAATCGACCTACCCATTTCCTCCACACCTGGTGAACAAGCCTCTGAATCAACCTACCCGTAATCTTAACCCCATTTCATGCCCGTAAACCTGTGAAATTCATGCCCGTAATCCTAATCAGTTCCCGATTTCGACATTCCCCAAATCCCGTGAAATTCATGTGTAGCCTCTGAAGTGTACTCTGCAGTGAGATTCGCAGGCATGGAAGGAGACACAGGTAAATTTCTTGATGCAATGTACCTCCAATATAAAAATCTCTCCCTCAGCAACGTAAAACAAATGGGCCTTCTTCCATTGCTTTAAATTGCTCAACATTTAACAGAAAAAGGGTAAAATTAGAAAAATCGATACTGCATGTGACATCTTAGAGAGTAACAAATTGGAGAGAGACGTTGTTTAGTCACTCAATGGTTGCTCTGTGAATGATGAGTGAATTATGAATGTATAGAACTGATTATTATTTATAGAACTGATGAGTGAATGATATAGAACTGATTATTATATATACACCTTAGGTTAATAATTCCGTTGTTTTCATTTTTTTTGACAGAGCATGACGAAGACCCTGATTTCGTTCATTCCGAGGTTGACATGGCTTCTGAGGAAGACGATTTATTATACGACCGAAATGTGACAGATGGAATCGAAATTGGATCGGATATGAATGAAGCAAGAAACGAAGGAGTATTGATGGGTGTAGTAGACGATGACTTGGAGTACCTATCGTCTGAGGAGTTAATATTGGCTTGCTCATCGGACGAAGATGTTGGTTATCGCTTTCCAGAATTTTTTGCTGAGACAGACATGAGGAATCCGCAGTTTGAGGTTGGACAACTCTTTCGCTCAATGGACGAGTTTCGGGCTGCAGTGAGAAACTATGGTGCTCTGAATGGTTACAATGTGAAGTTAAAGTGCAATGATAGAAAACGTGCTCAAGGAGTTTGTAAACTGGGGTGTAATTGGAGGATATGGGTCTCGAAGTTGAGTATGACGGAGACAGTACAAGTGAAGTCTTACACATCGGAGCACACATGCACACGGAGCCAACGAAATAGACATTGCAACTACATCTTC